TATCCATTTCCCTACAGTGTCTTTGATGTCCCTTGATGCGTATGCTAATTCTTCTCCCTGTTTAGCCAATATATTTCTGTTCGCACACGCCGGATGATATACAGTAAACTCCTGAACAATCCTATTTGTCTACTCCTTAATGTTGCGTCGGTAGACTTGTGAAAAGTGTTGATTTCTCTTTAAGGTCTTGCTTATTGAGGCGGAGTAGTATGTGATATCAAAGACTTAAGGGAGAGTATAGAACATAACGCTTTGAATATCACAAACATGGTAACGGTAATCAGGTAAAATCACTGAATCAGGAAAACAAGAGATGGATCCTACAGAGCAAGAGCGAGACTGTGATAAGACCTGGATGAAGATGGCAGGCTAAGAGGTTAGACTCGGACAAGCACTTCCAGCATAGTGGGGGCGATAAAGAAACCAGTAAGGAGTGTGAATATGTCTCGATAACTAGGCTCTAAAGCGCACAACTAAACTAAGTTTAAATAAACAAATATGAAATTATGATAGTGGAGGTGTGTACGAAGATATGGGATATGAGTCCACCAGGACAGAACGAGAGATAAAACCACCGTTCAGCAGACAATTGGTATACACTTCACTTGACTCTTTGACGAGTTGTAGTGTGTTAAGAATGATAAGGCTAACCGATAATGCGGCGAAACTTCCGGTACAACACAGTAAATCATTATACTATAGAATACGCAAATGTGTGTTCATTTAGGTCACCCTGACAATACGACCAAGTTGAAAAACGAGAGTAAACCGCATCTAAATAAAATGATTTTTACAAATTGTCCTTACAAAATGTTATTAGATCTATGCTCTTATGTAGAGGTTGACATGGAAAACTGGTGAGAGTGGGTCAGGCAATAAACAGCAAGGAAATAAACACGGAAAAACACCTAAAAAAGAATATTTAACAGATTAACTCTCACATATCACTTAAATGATGTAGTGGCATTCTGGAAAGCCTAATCATAAAACGAAAGATCTAGCATTTTTTGTTGAGAGTATCCCTATAGGAGATAATTTAAGATGCATAATCTCTCTATAGCTGTTTCTTTGGAATTCTTAATAAATAAAACAAATATATATGCATAGTTAGATGAAAAAATACAGACAAGCTTTAAACAACCTTGTGCTGCCAAGCTGTTGCTCAGCCTGCTTGCTAATTTCATCACGCTCCGCATTCCATTCGGCCTCCAATCGGCGTCTCAGGCTAGTATAATGCGCCTCTGCCAAGGACCTGGCACGCTCAACGGCAGCCTCCCGATCAGCAACCATTCCTTCTATTCGTTCCTTTGCCGCCTTCTCAGTCTCAATGGCACGAGCCTCATTAGCTAGAGCTGTCTGAAGCCTAGAACGAGTCGACTGACCGAGGGAGGTCCGGGCAGCCAAAATATGATGCAGAAATTTACTAATCGAGAGGCATTGCTCATGTTAAGACGTTAAATAAAGCAATTACTCGAAAATCTATTCATGAAATTATGTAAATGCATGTAAATTTAATAACTTTCTATGTGGTCTTGGGGCCGAGTAATATATCCTAACGGAAGGTATGAAGACCAAGGTGTGGCCTCTTGTATGATCACAATCTCCGTGTAGATACGAAGAGAAACTTGGTTTCGATGAATCTCCTAATATAACATTGTTAGGGAGACATGCATTTCGTGTGAAAGTGCATGAAGAAGATATTCTTTGGTCGATCTCACCAGATGAGAACGGATAAAACTCGTTGTACTGCAGTCAGTTGGATTCTATATGATATTCATGTTGACGCAGTCCACGGAACT